CACTGTTGTATTGTGAGCTGTGTTATATGCCGCCTCATTAACATAAAACGGCAGGATTCCCCCGGAAGCAACGTTACCCGCTAATGGTCCCTACGTTCGGAGGACGTCTATAAGACGTCTGGAGACTACGAACGGGACAGGAACCAGTCTAGTGAATACCAGACCCAATGATCCCAACCATTCTCGTCCAATCAAGGGTCCAGTAGCACCCAATGTCCAAGTGACCCAAACCGGAGGAATTCCTCCAGTTTCTGAAAACAGCCGAAACATTCCGAACTTGTCCCTTCCACATTCAGATAGCATCGTTGATGTTCGGGTATTTTCGCCTGTGTCTGTACGCAGAATGAGATATATTTTTTCTTTTGCTTGTTGCCAACGCATTTTTGTTAAGTTTCTTACATTTTCTTCAAAGTGACCGCCAACATTAACGGCCTGTATGTATACCTAAACATAGGATGCACCCAGGGCATTCCATGTGACACTTGACATGTTGTGTCGTGATCTATTTATATCCGTGGGTGACACCCGACCTAAGATGTTTTCAGGAGTTGTTAGGGAATCTTTGGAACAGACCAGCTAGTCGGTTGAACATGTCATTTGGCGTACTTCAGGGATCCATACTAGGACCCCTCATATTTAGTGTATAGGCCTATATTAATTATCTTGAAAATTCCTCTTATTTACTTGCGTTCATCCTAATTGCCGATGACTACAACCTGTTTTACAGTCACGAAAGATCCGTATACACTCTCTAATGTATGAACTCTGCAAAGTGTCATACTGGATCGAAGCAAACAAACTAACTCCTAATTTAAAGAAAACTAATTTTATGATGTTTGTAGAAAGACGCACATTTAATTTGTTATTGACAATCAGCCAGACTAACTGTGTTAAATTCTTGGGACTTTATATCAATGATAACCTTTCCTGGAAAACACATATTACCAGCATATGTTATGTTGTATCAAGAAACATTGGAACGATTTGTAAGTTGAGATATTTTCTTCCCTCTGATTTTTAAGAACTTTATACATGTATAACACATTAGTGTTACCCTACTTAACATATGAAATACTTGCATATGGCCAATGTGGAACTGGCCTGGTAAATATATAGAGTACTTAAATTTAAAAAAAGGTTTTACGAATAATTAATGTAACAACGTTTTATAAACATGGTGATCCTCTTTTTTCATAAATACAAAGGGTTGAACATTGGGGATATTTATTTATTTATTCCAAGTAGCTACGTTCATACGTCAACTTAATACGTGTAACTCCAAACTCCCGAAATCTATCTGATCAGTGTTCAATGCAAGCGATGTAAATATTCATCTATTTACTAAACAATGTTCAGACTACCACTACGTTTCTTTACGTACTAAGCTTGCTGCCAATGGGCATGAAGGCCCTAAATTATGGAATTCACTTAATCTTCCGTTAGAAATATTCGCAGTCTATATAAATCACTCACTGAATAATTACCTGTAAATGAATCGTTCATTAACGGATTTTACTGGTTATGTATTGACTCTTGTTATTTCTGTTATGTTTAAATGTACATGTTTGCAAAAGTGTGTGTGTGTGTGTTTGTAGTTATTTAATTTAATTTCTGGGGGCCACTATTAGACAAGTCCGTGCCCATGGGAACGAAGTTGCACAATCTCATTTTAAAAAATGCGGGGTGCATGCGCGTGATATATTACAAGGCCGGCTGCTGTGATGTCTAGGCCTAATGGTGAGCGTTTTTTGTCACTCTGTCACGTGATCATTCTGGGCCAATAAAATCAGTATTCATGATAGAGGTAATGTATACATGCTAAACTGCGGCATCCATCGCATGCACGTCGTATTACCCTGCTGTGAACAGGCTGCGTTTTATTGTTGAAGTTACTCTCAAGTACTCCTATATCCTAGGTGTATAGGAACAACGTAACACGTTCGAACCAAGCCATAGGAACCATGTTGGAAAACTGTCCCATTACTGTTTGCCTGTTGTCGGCTGCTTTTTTTTTTTTTTTAGATGCTTTTTCTTCAGATCAATTCTTGAGTCTTGCTGTGGTTTCATCCACGGGAGGCCTTGCCAACAGCTCAAGGCCTAGCATGCAAGGTCGTGCAGGCGTATCGGGTTTGCGTGTCATTCAACTGCTTGGAAAATAGGAAACGCAGCCCACGTCAGTCATTGATTTAGTTTCAATAAACCAAATGTTCTCATACGTTAAAAAAAACGGATCGAATAATGAATGTACACTGGGTACACATAATGCTGAAAAAGGGTCCCATTTATGATCAGTAATTATTCATAATCTAACATATAAGAAGACAAAGTAAATATCTCCCATAATTTGCTTCGATGGCTAGTTTGGTGAAAAGACCGCAGGATGTGTATTGTTTCACCTTTAATGAAGTTGCTCAATGATTGACTCGCACGCCTCTGCACGCCTCCAAAAAGAAAACGGCGAAAAGGTCAAGGTGTACACGTTCCAACCTACTTTATCGAGCTGTCATGCGATCGATGCCAATTATAATTGTGAAATATAGTCCATCTGGGCAAAGCAAGAATATGAAATACGACACATCGAGTTTAACGATTTAACCTGCTATTAATTGGTTCTGCGTGCAGTTTAGGCTAATACCTGGTGAGAGCTATGTAATTAAATCTCTATGGAAATCCCCCTCTAAATGTCCCCACTACTTTGAGATGATTTGGCTTCAGTTTTGTTGTGGTGGTTTTTTGTAGTGGTCGCAGCGAGCGTGGTATAATTTTTGTGGTTGTTGCTTTGTTTCAAGCTTTTGGGGGTCTGAGTAAAAACAGAATTGAATGCCAAGACTTTGCAGGTCTAATGATAGAGTATATTCAGGAAGTTCCAATCGCATTTTCAAGGACTGAACTAATCAGTCAGACCTTGTTAATAAGAGAAGTGTTACTACAAGATTCTTCTCATAATAAGGGACTGTTAGGTCCCAACCTTTTTCATCGTTTTTCATTTTTTATTCCTGATAATACAAAGTTCCTATTATAATAATGTACTTTGTCAAGTTCGAATGACCAATTAAAGAGGTTCGACTGTACATTAATTAATTAATAGAGTTAGAGAGTTGGCACACTGCAGGCGAATGCAATGCAACAAAGAAACTTGTCCTGTTGAAGTAATTCAGTTCAATTTACGTGTTTACAAGGATATGAATCATACATCTGATTGCAAGGGAATAAGAAGATGGAAGAGATAACTCAATCTCACAAGTCTGCGAAATAGAAAACTGTTAATTCGCAGAACCGGTTCATCGAATCTGGGCCGCAAGGGTCAGCCTGGGCCGTTTGATCCCCTGGGCATCGTAAATACACAAAAACTGCGAGTGAATAATATTTACGATTGCTCGCTACTGGCTCCACAAATCGACTTGATTGGATCGGTTTGACAATGAATACTGATTCCCATCGTAAAATTAAGTGCCATCTTCATATGAAAGTTTAGATGTGCGTTTCTCAAAGTCTGAGCCGACTCATGAAATATACATTGTGTGGACGTGTGCCGATGATTTCGACCATGTGTACAAATAATGCTACCACATATGTAAAAAAAAGAATTATTGAAATTCCACTTGCTTTGAAACAACAAGCAAGCAAGAAAAAACATCAATAACAACAATCGTGTGTATGGTTTCATTGTGAATTTTGATGCACTGTACATTTGGAGATTTAATAGTTGTCCCCCTTTTATTTTTAAAAAGCCTACGGCTTGTTTTGGTTCGAAATTTTGCATTACCATCACATTGTCAAATAGATTAAGTACATATGCAACTGATGCTACAGTTTAATTTAATATAGAGGAAATAAAATGGAGAATCTAAGATTACCAAAACCATTTCAGAACATGTGCATATGTATAATTTTCGATCTCACTTTCTGAAAACTCTCCTAAAAGCTGTATATCTGTATTTGAGCTGAAAATAAGTTTTCAAATAGAACTTCTTTCCTAAAAACGACGTTTCAAGGGAGCAATGCATGCCTTTCTTTCAAATTGCATGTATTGTTTTCTTCGATCGTTTATTAGCATTGGGAATCCATTTAATGCTTATGAGGTATTACGAGTAACTTCATGTGGTATCCGTCGCCTCTTGGAATTATTCTTTACATTGCACAAATTTTAAATATTTGTATTTCCTAAGTCGAACACGCAACAAAATCTCCGTTTTGTTTATGGACAGGGAAAAATGCCACTTGTACAGCGGGTACCCGCCATCGTTTATACATGTATATGCTCAGCGTTTGATATACGCATCTGTACAAATAATTCAAGATTGCATGCAAATTTTTGCTTTAAGTTTGCATAGCTATAAGAGTTTAGAAGCTGATAATCGGATACGTGTCAGATCGGTGCACAGCAAATTAAAAAGCCCCTTACTCTCGGCCTTTGCTCCCCGCTCAGACAAAGACCAATGCAATTTATTGTAGGAGACAAAAGGGTAAGAAATTTGCCAATTCAGGCACTTATTTACAGTTTCATTTTATTTTATTTATTATTTCCCAGGGAAAACAGACACAGGGTACAAAACCAAGAGAAACAACAGACTTACACAACATTTGATAACAGCCCTGAAGGATAACCTAAAAGCAAACTCAATCACTGTCGAGAGGGTCTCCTAAAATGTCAGTAAATACGAAAACACTAAAATTACATACAAAGATTTCTACACACACACAAAACTCAAGGATACATATAATCAACTTTGCTGGTTTTGGTGCAGGATTGCACTAGGGATTGTTGACATGTAGTGGGCATTATTTATTTAAGACTGGGACAAAGGACTGAATCTTTGAGGTATCATTCTAAGGGGTAAAGTGTGAGTTCTCATGCAAGAGTAACATAAACACCTTATTACTAGAAAGAACATTGTAAAGAAAGAAATAAATGGATACAGTTTCCACGTAAAAATTCATCTTAAAAAGGGGTCACGCCCTCACCCTTCCCTGCAAACCTTTAGGTCACTTTTAATAACATCAATTATAACACCCTTGACGATGCTGCGTTTACAATGAGATGCCTAGGTCTTTTTATCATCACTCGATTATCCCCGAAGGCGTAGTATCATGTGCGTATGGTTGTACTGCGTGTCCTCTTGGTGACCTTCTCCCCCTGTCCTATGGTGAACTTGGCAGTGCTTTCCGTGTCAAAGCCCTACTCGCTTCAGAGTAAGATTCGTAACGGGAGTCTCATGTTCACACAACTAGTACAAAAGGTACAGGTAAACAATACCCGAGCTTCAAAAGACCACATATGTAATGGCCTCCAGATACAAGGCACGTGCTTTGAGTTCGACCAATCACAGCACTGATAGTAGGCAGGAGTCAAAGAAAGAAAAGAAACAGCTGTTTTGTACTTACAATGACAACCAAGCAGATGGTGCGAAATCATTTATCTCAATATTGAGCAATCAAAGTCACCTTGACGAAAAGGCACTAACTGGTATAAACACGGGTCACCGATGAGATACAACAATAATGCAGTCATGCGGATGTCAAGGGTTCAACTTGCAGCCCAGATACCTTGTCATAGCTCTGTGTTCCTATAAAAGACACTTGCGCTGCAAATTGTGTGGCTGTGGAGAAGTGCCAATCAGTGAACAGACAAAACATACATTTCGACTAGACACTTTGAATTAAGCCCCTAGCCTTTAGGACGTCAGTTGTTAGCTTTATATTTTTCAAGACTTCGCGATATAGGGCCTATTTCTGGTTTGTTCTTTAGCGGAGACTCCCTTAACGCAGACGCTGCTCCGTCAAGTCGCTAGACTCTCGTCATTTCCAGTAGAAGGTAGGTTTCAATTAATATCTAAATTTAATTTTTCAACATAATTTGATTTTTGTTTAATCAACGTACATTCAAACTTTTGTCGTTTTTTACAACTAATCAACTCATAGTGCAGCTTTGTTGCTACTCTCAGTATGTTGGATTATACATTTCTGTACTTATCTTGCTGTTGCCCATTTACCATGTTCAATATATTTCATGCCACAGTTTCCACGTCTGAAGTCCTTTAAACATTAATTAACTACTAGCACCTTCCGTTGGTGATGGTTCACAGGACGAAATTGTAAAAAAAGTGGAACAACTCATTCACTGCACTGGTTTACACGACTGCACTTTCACTCATCAATATGAACTGGTCACATTAGTGAATGGGTCCGACTCTTTGAATTGCATTATTGAATCTGACTTTAGTTGAGTCAAGCACTGTTCAAGTTGCAAGTTTTAATGCACAATTGATATATCCGTGATAACTTTAGGCCATATATATAGGTCTATGTTTCGGGCATAATAAAAGGACAAATAAAATTTGTGTCATCAACCAAAATAATTCAATAAAGAGATTCTCATATAACACAGGTTTGTACGCATATTGCGCCACATCGAATCACAATAATCTTTATAGTGATTATGTTCTTGTAGGGGTTCCGATTGTGCTACGGTAACCGTCTTGTCCAAGTGTAATTGATCGTAGCTCAGCTACGGATGATTTTTTCTTCGAGAAGTAAAGTCCGAGGCATGGGGGTCGCGAGGGCGTATAGGCTGAAAAAAAACAAGTTAAAATGGAAAGAAAATGGAAAAGGATATGGAACATGAAATGGGATATAAATCACCAATTCGCTTGAAAACAAAAATCGAAACTGACCCCTTTCCACTGTTAATGATTTGTCCCTTCCTTGCCAATGAGTACCTTTGCCTAGCCCCCTTCCCCTTTGCAAATTATTCCTCCTTGAGAAAAGTGCTTAGCCCAAAGGAAAAAAAAAATGGCGACGCATATGGTCCGAGAATCTTTTGATTAAGAAGTGACAAATAATAATAGGTTACGAACTATAATAATAAGTTACCGAAGAAAGGTTGACTGGCGGCAGAGGATAAAGGTTCAGTTTCACATGTTTCACACGCGAAACCACTGAGTAATTAAGAATTTGCGTTACTGCTGGCTACGCTACAGAATTTAATAAACATGACACGCAAAAGATTGAAACTTTGTAAAAGGCAAAGTGAAACAAACCCTCCGATATCCATTGAAGTGTGCTTTTTTTGTTCGAAAATCCAAGAAAAATACAAAATCAGCAAAGAACTTCATACGTTGCACGTATGAATGAAACTTCGGTTGGTAGGAAACAAGCTGTTGTATTCGCTCTTTGCACACTGCTACCGCCATAGGCATGCAGAGCCTCGAACTAGTAGCTTGTACAATCGTGTCAGAATTGCTTTGTCCAATTGCATAGTAACATAGTATGGGAACTAACGCAGCAGGCACAAAATTATATAAGCAACATATACAGGAATCATCAGAGCTAAAAACTAAATTTATTGTGTAAAGATGCCAGATCGAGGCTCTGCATGCCTATGGCAGCAGCGTGCAAAGAACGAATTGGGGCTTCAAAAGATTGGGAAATTTGTCCTATGGATGGAGTTGGGAGGCCATTGTGTGGGTTGCTGTTAGGTTGATCTATTGGTTTTCACGATTCCTTGCGTGTGGACATAATAGGGATAGTGTGAGGAACATCTGCGTGGGCCGGGTAGACCACACTTTTGCAGAGACGCGTAGGGGATGTCCAAGGCTTGGAGATGAGACAAATTAGAAGGGGACTGTAGAGGCTTTGACGCGACAAGAGCTTTGGGATATCGGGGTCATTAATTAAGATCCCGTACATATAAGGTTAATAACAGGGAATCCGGAGAACAACAGATATGTGACGGCGGTTGCACCGGGACTAGGCCTATGAAAGAAAGGCAATAAAGGCAATTCAGTTATACCGTGTACGTATATTGCCCTTCAACGGCGGTGTCAAGTGTAAATAATCAGGACAGTAGACAAAATACGCAAGATGCAAGGTACATAATAATGGGGTGGTATACGGGGCATATTAAAAATCACTAAGCAAAGGTGGAAATTTCAGGGATGGAGGTATCTATACCCCCCCACCTTTTGACTGGGGGATGGGCTATGGAGTCCCCCCCACCACACACACACTTGTTTTACAGACGAAGTGTGGACATTCCTTTGTTCGCCTGTGGTTAAGGAAAGTGCTCCTTTTTTTCCAACGCACTAGGATAACTCATTCGAGCTGTATTTTAGACGATGATTTCCTGGACTGTTCCTCTTCATTTCGCCACAGATAACCATGACCCCAAAATGCCCATGAAACTGTTTTTCAGAGAGGGAAAAATATTTTCTGGACGTGTGCGAGTCCACACAACGCCATCATATACCCCGCATTATGTGAACTTCTTTGTGCAGAGGTCCACACTATGTATGACACACCTGTACACACCCAGCCCCCCCCCCACACACACAAACACACTTTGTGGTGGTGGAAAAAGAAGACAGATTGTGAAAAACTTTTCGGACTTCCCAACAGCGCAAAATGTAATTAGTAGCACAAAAAAGGAGAACAAAAAGCCATAAATATGCCGTTCTGATGCAAGGTTCTGAAGGAGTGTTATACATATTTACAGATGTTAATCTGCATCGTGAATATTTTTCCTAGAGTCATATGGTGTAAGCCGCCCCTGCTTTTCAAATTTCCATGATCCAGAAAGTCCCCCCCTCCACAATCTTCCATACCCCGGTTCCGGCACAAATTTACGCCACTGTCCTTCGTCAATTTTACGGGGAGGACATCCAACACAAAGAAGTGAAATTATCGATACAGAAATGGGTATTGAAAGTATTGAAACCATTTTTCTGCAGAAGGTCATCAAGAACCTCTGTGACAGTGAACAGGCTTTTTGTCAGGAAAAAACGGCTATTTGCCGTTTGATCAAGTCAGCCTTGAATCATTGAACCCGTTCACACTTCTTTCTGCGGATGGAGACCATACTTTTTTTCCAACGAAATACAACTAAAGTTCACGGAGATAATTTGATATTAATTAAAATTGATTAGAAACATTATACCACCCGTATTATATGAACCCGGTTGCACAAAATTTGAAACAAATTCTGAAAAAGTGATTAAAAAATAAGCACCATCAGATTTGAAAATACGTTCATGGTCTTTCCCATTTTAAAACCACTTCCCCAGTTTATCCAACGAAATAAAGACCCGATAAAAACACCGGTTGTATTTTCACGTTATTGCGAATAGAATATTTTGCGTGAAAATCATTTTGTCCGTAGTAGTGCGTATAGTATACGTATACGTACGTTGATAGGGTACTGTACATGTATATGTGCATACATAAATCATGGCCAACCATCAGTAGACAGAGCCAAAGTTGAAATTGATAAAACTAACGAAGGACAATTCACAATAGCTTAAACATAACATGTTATCCTTTTTCAAACACTCTCTCAATCACCAAGATATGCAACATGTGTGAAAAAAATGGAGAACAATTCAAAATTTCGATTTTAAAACACCCTTTTTACGTTCGGAAATGTAAATAGACATCGGTCAACCCACTTTCTCGGAAATGTCACTCACGATTAACAAGAAACACATCACAACATGAAATCTGAAGCTTGAATATACTCCTCTGGTATAAATTCAGCAAACATTTACAGAATGCGGAAGATCTCTGCAGATGGATTTTGCTCTAGTCGTTTGCTGGCTGGCGTCGCTGACAGAAAGTGACCACGACGAATTTTAGCGTGTGCACACTAAATTAAGTGGAAGGGGTGAACATACGTGTTGAACCAGCTTGCATAATTCACTGTGACAGAATGACCCACGCAATGTGCATTCGATTCCCTTCTAAACTGGCTTTGTATATACAAGTAGTTGGTGTCTCGACCCTTGGCCTGATTGGTCAAAGCACTTGGCTGTGACTGGCTAATACTCTTGACTGTGATTGGTCGAATCTGTGAATGATAAGTGTTAGAATCCTCCACAGTATACCAATTTGATGAATCCCTTAACTTTTTAAGAGTTGAAAGTACAATATAGAGGGGTAAATGGAGTGTGGAAAGAATGCAAACATGCGAACAATTGTGACACCTGCTTGAACACTGAGTATAATCATCCAGGACAGTTTAAAATTTAAAATTAACTACTTTTAATCACACGAAAGATTGTGAACTCATGTTTAGCCAAGTATAAACATTCTGTCAAAATATATACATTGTTACAGAATCTCTTAATGCAATATAGATATAGATATGCAATATATAATCCAGCGACGTTGTCAATGGACCCTTATCTATGGCCTCTTAATTAAAAAGTGGAAAGTGTATGGGTGGATTTTGTTTAGAACAACTGCCTGGGGACACTCGCTACGTACACTAGCAATCATACTGTCCTTTGCCATAAGAGGAGAGTCGTCTGTAAATGCTATGGATAGAACAATTTGTCGGTTAAACAAATAAACATAAGCAATTTTGTTTCTCAGGGTCTTTACTTTTAATCATTTAATCAAGGAGTAAAGGGTCAGTGCTTGCCGAGAATTTGTGTGAAAATTACACGGTGGCAACCATAAACTCTCGGAAAGCACACGGATCACAGTGTGGATCACGTAGGCGAAAGAGAAAGTGAAATTCAAACTACATCTCCTCAAAGTAACTTCATTCCAGCATTAGTTAAATTGGACGACTGACCTTTAACCTAGCTAATTACTATACTCCAGTGATTCATAAATAGTAAAAGTAGCTGGATTTGGGTTTTAAATAGAACCACTTACAGGACTCAACGCAAGTTCAAAAGGCCTTTAGGGTGGACGTTTTGGCTTTTGGGTGAATTATTGAAAGACTGAGTTAAGTATTCCCTGTAAATTTTAAGATGTCATATATCCTCACCTCTAATCGATCTTATACCCGACCAATTGCTCCTGATACATGCTTAACATTTTCAAGGAATAGATGACAAAAATCAGTGCATTTTATACACAAATCTGTGTGTAAAGTGAACCAGAAAAAAGGCCATTTATCATATGCTCGTAAACAAGTCGTCACATGTTCAAATAAGTTCCACATGCGATTTTAAATATAGGTACTGTATTTAGAAAAATTCAAACTTATCAGAAAAGGAAAGTCAATTAGCCAACACTGGGCAACACTAGGCAAACACAATCAGGATTTCAAGCTTTTTCATCCAGCATTAACAATCACATCAATGTTTTGTTTGGCCCATCACCACCTTTCAAATAATTCAAGGCGATTCTTCTTTTTACCCCCTCGAAGATTTACTTTGAGGGCTGTGCATTGTTTTGTTTGTGAGTTACGAGTAGCTACTTAAGGGAAACCCTGAAGCAAATATAATTCATGGTTGACTGGTTCACTTCCCCACAAGTTTTAACACAAAATGCTTAATCGTTTGTCATCTAACCCTACGATGCAAGGAAAACGTGCAAAGATTTATTCCTAAATCGGGGTATCGGCACAAACATGCCAACACAATGCTTTCTTCACGCTGGACTTTAAACCCTAACCCCCTAGGGACCATTGAAATCCTGCATAACCTTGTTGGATTCAGCTTGGTTATATAAAGGCCACAAACACTTTTCAAGGATGCAGTTTTCCGCTGTTCCCTTAGCTTGAGTGAAATGCCTTAAATGAGGGAGGTAATACGGTACATGTTGCCACAAAAGTTGCAAAATTAAAAATGACTCCGATCATCCAATCAAACCAGAAATCATTGTCTTTGTTCAGTGCAAAACGAAGGAAATCTTAGTTATCATTGTTACCTTTTTCTTAGTTCTCCTTGACTTAGTTAACTGTACTTAATACTCATTACGTACTGAACAAATGTTTAATTAAAACATGAAGTGACTAGCTATTCCAGCATTAATTTCAAACACTTTGCTTCGTCGACATTTAGACTGTTGTTTGTTAGTTTTTGGTGTTCCTTGTACTCTAGGTTCCCCATGGCTTTACTATTTGTAGTTTTTGATTTAGTAATAAAAAGTTAATAAGATAATAAAAGAAACACTGCCTTAGTATCAAATGAACTTTGGGTCAAGTACTTCAAAACTGAAATACAAGTGCTGAGTAAGTGTAAAAAGCTGGAGTATGGTCATGGGTAGGCCTATGCAGTTGGATGATTATTTTTGCTTTGAAGGCATTTTATGTCAAAAATAAATAAATAAATTTCGAAAGACGAATTAAACGAAAAATGGTTATAAAAAGAGAAAACGTAGTAGTCTCGGAAGGTAGTACTAAAAGATGAAATTGAGTGGTTAAAAGCTTGTTTCTCGGTGTACTTGCTTGACAAGCTAGGTTTACGGAGAGGAAAAGGAAGGAAAGGGTGGTGGAATGCGAATAAATGTGGGCGAACTACAGAGGGCATAACAACGTTACGTTTTCTTTCATTTTTACACGCAGCATCGTTGTATGAACAGTGAAGTGAATAATAACAGTGAACGTCAACCCTGCACACTTGCTATGGGTGGTGTCAGTTTTTATGTGGGTCACATTGCCTGATTATTTCCGCCCCAATTTTTGTGGGTTCATGGCCAGTAAACAGCATGCAGAGCATCTGAAAGTACAGTACATGTACACTGTACATGTACAGTACACTGTACATGTACATGTACAGTACATACTGTGTGTGTGTGTAGGTGTAGGCCTACACGGAGTGTCTGTCACAGGGAAAAGGGGTCCACAAATGTGGGAAATTGTGCCTTCGACCTTTCCTGAAACCTTCTTTCATCCTGGGTTTTTGGATACAACAGAATTTTTATGTGAACATAAACTCCACCGTGAAATTCAGATTGTATGACATGGAATGACTCCTGAAATTCAATGAATTTTTGAATGAAGTTTGTTATGATTTAAAAGAAATCCTTTTTTTAAGGCCTCAACCCCTTTGTGATTTGTCAAACTTGTTTCTCCCTTATGCCATTATTTTGTCGGTGACTGGTGTTTGTCACAATCAGACAATCATTCATCTATATATAGTATAGTTTACTCGAAGTTCTGTTTTCATCATTTCACATCGTGTTAGGACGAAGGAGGTGTACCTAGTGACCTAAATCAGCCAATAGGTCAGTGCAAAGAGGTGACCTCAGAATGCCATACCTCCTCCTGTACAGGTTAACTAGTTACCATGACAAAGCCAACTTGGCATGTTGTTCTTTTGCTTGAACTCACCCTGAACTTGAGCCATATTACCAACCGATAATAAAAGTTCATTTTCTCGATCAACAGCATAGGTTCACAAGTTCATTTCATTCATACTAAAATAGATCTGTTTACCAGTATAAATTTCATAACACTTCTCTTGATAGGTTTAGTTAACGCGAGACACAGCAGCATGAGCATTGCTAATGACTGATTACATAGACATCCACTACGCTTTGTAGAAGAAATTGTGTTTAATTATATAAAACGTATTTGTTTCACTTCAACAGATATCAGAAATATGACAGTAGATACACCGATAATCGGCCTTGTGGGGCAATATATTGTTCCACTTGCATTATCCATGGTGATACTCATTGTGGTGCGTCGCTTATGGTATGAATACTTGATCCAGAATAGAGATCCCGCTTTCGATGCACCATTACCAGATGGTAGTATGGGATGGCCCCTGATTGGAGAAACAATTTCGTTTGCTCTTCAGGTGAGTTGCTCTCAAACTTGTCTTTGTATTAGGAGTTTTGTATCCAAAGTTTTGACAATTTTAATCATAACGATGATTTTTTATACTCGATAGTTACTTCGTAGTTTGGTGGCTTAATACAATCTATGCATTTGTGACTTGGTACCCATCGCTCATATTTATAGTTGAAGACAGGTGCAGTTCTTCAATAGGACAGAGGAGCCTTACCCACGAATGCAAATCTCTTTCGTCCTTAAATTCCCTCACCCTTTTTAACGCCGAGTTGATTGAGATTATGCTGTCAGCACCTGCTAGAGCACTGACTTAAAGCTTGTGTCCGATACTTTCCATCGATTTCTTCTTGCGCAATTTCTCAAACATTTTCAAGATTTTGTCTTGTCTAAATCCTTTGATAATTTGTCGAAAATCATGTATTAAAATATATTTTCAGTCCTCCCCCAAAAGTAGCTTTAGATATCGGTCGGTTGGTCAGGGTAGAGGATTGAAGTACGTATGAATAACGAAAAGGTCGTTTCAAGTCCACTGATCGTCTTTTCTTTGGATATGTAGTCTTAATGAAGTTAAACGTTCACTCACAACGTAAAGGCTCCAAAACACAATATATTAGAATCCGTGGCAAATCAATGCAATGGTTAACGACCGTGGTATTCCGGCAAATCAATGCAATGGTTAACGACCGTGGTATTCCGGCATTAGATTACAGAAATTATCGTATTATTCTACACAAAGCATTAATTGTAGGACATAAGAGTACATACAGTAACTCTTAATAAACTTGTATTCTATTATTTTCATTTCGTTTTGTCACGTATAATTTAATGAATAAGAATTGAATGTTACAGGATAATCTTTCCTATTCGTGAAATGTGTCCAACGTGAGTAATTAATGAAAAGCATTTGTAACTTTCACAAAAGATAAAAACCGAATACATGTACTAAACGAAAAGGAAGCCGTATAATAATAGTTCTACAAGATGCATTTTCCTGATCCGATTTATAAACACAGGGGTCGGAGTTTTACGAAAAGAAGTTTCAGCAGCACGGACGGCTTTTTAAAACACATCTGTTTGGCCGCCCAACGGTTCGAGTCAGAGGAGCTGAAAACATCCGTAAGATTCTTCACGGCGAAAATGACATCGTGACCTCTTATTGGCCAGCCACATCCAGACTCATCTTTGGGACTGATTGCCTGTCACAAAGTCAGGGACCTTTTCACACGAGGCTTCGTAAACACGTAGCTAGTGCTTTCTCTCACACGGCACTCGCTGGTTACGTCTCCTTGGTTCAACCTCTCATTATTGATGCGATCGATGACTGGTGCAAAGCTCCTGCTGGAGTTACAGCATATCCAGAATGCAGATCTCTGACATTCAGGGTATCAGGCAAGGTGCTGTGTGGTTTCGACTACAGTAAAGAGGAGACAGCTTCACTTATTGACCACTTTGAGGATATTTTTCAATGTCTCTTCACGTTACCCATCAACATACCTGGCAGCACCTTGAATAAGGTAATAACTCTCCTATACCTTGGGGGTCGAAATACCCTAAATAAAGGTTGTAAATGTAACATTAGCAACTGAAGTTCATGTTAACTAAGGTTAAGGATTAAACAATGGCGCAGGGAGGGAAAAATAATCCACTTCCTATTTGGCAGCCAAAATGGCACAATAAATAAAAGAACTTATTGTAAATCTTGTGTTGGCAACTGCCCCTCCCCCTTTCTAGAAAACTCTGGATCCGCCTTTGCAATGGCCAACATATAACAGCTACACAACAATATTTAATTAAAACACCATTCTCGATTTTACATAAAGATGCAGCAGGGACAGCTTGCCAGATATCTGAGTTAAATTTACTTATGCTATGCAACAATACAACAATAAGATTGCTAAATATATGCAGAGAATTGGAGGGTTCAACCCTTTTCTGCCACGAGAGATCTTTTTACCCTAGTAATGATCTTGTTTCGGTTGTATAAAAGTAACACTAATTCCAATAACAATTATAACAGTCGTCTTGACAGGAATATTCGGAATTATTATGAAAAGCACAAAAAGAGATGGTAAAAAGCACGCAGCGGGCTTGTATATATCTGCCGAATTTCAGTGGGTTCATTGAACTGTGGGCTGTCAAAGTGCGTGGCTGTTTGTGTGAACTGCAGGACAAGTACAGTGAATGCGTCATTGTAAAGAATCCCTCGAGGCACAATGTAGCACGGGGACTTCAATTCAAACACTGCTCCGTGTAACATGTAACAATTTATTGGAAAAAAGTAAACGATCTCTCTGCAAAGGCTTTACCCTTTGCAGTCTTTGTAAAGTTGAACAAATCCTCGAGGATATATACGTAAAGCTCTGGAATCAGTATACATAGCAAGGCACCCCGATGTGCACTTGTGACCCTAACACGTGCCAGTCCAAACAAAGCTACATTCAAAACAAGGGAAGGTGCAAAGGGGAAGGAAAATCATCGAAGAAATTTTCAGAAACATGACTTTGGAAACACGGGTTCAAACGAGACACACAGTGGATATAAAGTTCCGTTTGTTTGCACGCATATCACTATGTGTTACAATACAGATAAGATCTACAGTTACTTCTTTTCATTGGAAGTGAAAAGGAGGTGGTAATCAAACTAGACCCTAGTTTCAAAGTATGCACGAGGGCGCTATTTCCACGTTGTCATACGAGGCAATCCTTGTTAAAAGAGCATGAGGACAGTTAAACATTAATCCTTCAAACTCACCCACAAACAATGTTTCGAAGAAATATTGACCACTACTGTTGTGGAACCTATACCAAGCAAATGTAGAAATGTCATACACAGAGAGACACTCCGGTTCTGCCTTAAATTACATCACGCTTTGGCTCATGAATATGGAAGTCTTCGTCAGCATAAAACCAAAATGTTGAAACTGTCCGTCTTACTGCTACAAAGGAGGGGAAAGTCACAGTCACATGTGATTACAAAAAGCTGTGCTTCGCATATTAAATTCATAAAAGTCCCCTTTAAAGGAATAAATCGATGCTTATCTTGAAGCAAAATGTGTTAGTTTAACATATGCCTAATTCCCCTAAAACATTTCAAACTTGTTATTCATTCTTATAATAAAATAATTGTAGAAATGGAAAGCCATTTTGTAGAGCTGTCTGTAAAAAAAAAGTTGTTAGTACAAAAACAAATATGACACACATTTTAAGTAGCTCGTGCAAATGTTTGAATTCTTTACTTGTAACAACAGTTAAGCGTTCTCCCTCATTTTTCTGCTCGATTTGTTATTGTGCACGATGCGTGTCCTGACCACCTTTCTGACCTTCACCCGTTTTCTCATACTTCGGGTACGATGTTGATGTGTAGGAATTTGTCGTGCATATCTTCTTTTGTTAAGCACATGTGAGTTCGTTTTAGTGTACACGTACCTGCGTACTTGTTCGACATTTTGTTCCGCCAAACGTCTTTCATAATTTGAAAGCCAGTCTCTGACGTCAATTCAGAAGGATTTACGAATAAAATAAACACACACACAAAGTACGAAATGGTATGTTGGAAACCAAGCCGAATTAAAACTTAACTCACCTATGACATGCAAATTGGAAGAACTTTATAATCCGTTCACCAGATGCTAGATGTTGGAAACGTTACACGAGATTCGTAAGCCGAGATGGCAGACATCGAACACCATAGTTTAGTAATGCCATCTTCTTAGGAATTTACTTCAGGTTAAATTGGAAGAAAAGGAGTCTGTGTACCTTCAACGCGACACACAATCGCCTGTCTAGAACAGCGTTATTTCAAATCCATCTTCAAAATTTAGTTGGATAATTTTCGTTACTGATTAATTTACTTGAAACAAAACTATGGATGCCACGGCCTATTAAGATGTGGGAAACTGCTCCAGCATTGTCGCAATTGGTCTTGCATTCGTACACTGATTGTCTCGTTAATACACAAAAATGACACCATGGCAATGTTCCCTGCATCCAAAAATGACAAATATAGAGACCTCCAATTTGACTCTACAGGAGGCTAATGGGTGACATAGTAATTAGGATACTGATATTTCACTGTAGTAATTGTGACTATATTAATCTTCCCAGGGTCTGAAAGCTCGTGACTTGATTGCCAAAAAAATCACAGAAAACATCCAGCGTAAGATGGATGACGATGATACCCAGGATGCTTTGCGTATATTGATGGAACAAGATATGGAGACTGGAGAGATACCTTCTACGTCGGTAAGACAATTACCACAATCATGTATTCCGTATACAGACGATACTTTCGAATTTGTTTTTATATGTCTACCGTCTCGCAAATAGAGAATGTTCACATATAAATAGAAAATTAATTATAGTTTTGACCGATGCGTGATTAAAAGTCATTATCACTAGCGTGTAATTCCTCGACAATGGAAAAAGCTTCAAGTGTTGCTCATTGTTAAGGCATCCCCCAGTAACAAACAGTCTGATGCCACGAATTTGTATGATCAAGAGGCAAAATGCAGGGGATGTTCATTTTCAATTTGTTTACATTTATTTTTTGATGTTTTATTGGGTGAAATTTGGTAAGAACTGGCAAAAACATTGATGGGGGGGAGTCCAACCACGGGGTTCAAAGCCCATTTCCGGGCACTCCCTCGCAAACAGAACAAAAACCACTGAATTAAGATCTAACACATGTCTGGGCATCTGAGATGTACTTTTCTTTTAGGGTTTTAAATGAGGAATTCAGAGGCACTTTTTCATCAAGATCATTTTGCACAAAATGGAACATTCAGAATTGTAAATGTAGCACCTACTGGTAATTGCTTTAAAGCTAAATTCGAAACTGTCCTACGTTGGAGAACACTGCGCTTACATAATGAGTTGAGTTATGTTTCATTCAATTCTCATGTTGAAGGCGACAGTTTGTCGTGCCATCGATTTGCTTGTTGCTGGCTATGCATCTACTGCAAGTGCTGCGTGCAGTATCATCCGCCAGCTTCATGACAACAAACACGTGCTGATAAAAGTCCGCAGAGAGCTGAAAGACCACAACATGACACAGCCTGGTAGTCCACTGACACTTCAAGACATGAACCAGCTGAAGTACGTGTCTAATGTTATAAAGGAAACCATGAGAATGTCACCACCCATTGGAGCAGCGTTCCGAAAGGCGCTTCGTACATTTGAGTTGGACGTAAGTATTCAAAGTGCATGGGAGCAAAAGGTCTCTCTTTTTTAATAATCTGTTTTCCCTAATTTTTTGGTTGTTCGTTTACTTTTTTCAAAATGTCCAATTGGGCTACTTGGGCAGGGGCTACCTAATGTTTATGCATATTCGTATCAGTTATTGTCCTGGCGTATCGATTCTTTCGTCTCTTTTGTTTAAAAAAATAGCACATTTTGAGATTTGATTTCCATAATCATCCAGAATATCATCGCGTCCCACCTTCAGCAATATTATAGAAAAGAAAACCTGTTTGACACGCGCCATACACGTTAATGCATTCCCCCCTCTTTGCAAAAAAATCCATGATCTGATCCAGTCGTTTACAATTCACTGTCAAAGTTTGGTCCCCGTGTTTGAATACCGTGTTAAGAATCTTCATTATTACGAACCAATTCGTCGAATCTTTGGCTGAATGGCAACGTTCAGAAATTGAATTTATCTTCTATCAATCACGTGAAAATAGGTGAGTCCGTTGTGAGTTTAAACATTTCCTTGAGTCCTTGAAAACGATTCGACACAGCAGGTTAACGAAAAAGGTGAAAACATGATGACTCTTAGCATACGGTTTTGTGGTTTTAAAACAGATAAAAAGACTGAAAATCTAAAAAGTTTTCCTTTTGTTCCTTTTTGTACATCTTGAATTGTGTGTTTTCAAGAAAATGAATTTGAAAAAAAAACGACATTTAATGAATCAAAAAAGAAACGTATTGCAAAGTTTTCTGCTCCTTCTGTGTGCAACATTGAAGTTTAACAAACGCGTCATTAAATTGAGTGGCAAAAAAAAAATTATATTCTGCAATGTCACAGACCAGACAGTTCTGACGCAACCAACTCAAACGTCCCTCACCCAAAATGTGTTGGAACAATAAGAATTGTGTGATGAGAGACAACATGAGTTAAATATCACAAGTGCATAACTCGGTTCCACTGGAGGAAGTAAAAAAAATCTCGGAATTTGAATGAACATTCTTTAAATAGTTGGGGAAAACAATGGTCGATATGGCCGAATAATGCAGTCCTTTCAATTATGAAAATGATGACAGCACCCCGTTGGCAGTTCAATAAAAAAGAATGCTTGCGGCAGAAGTCTACCGTTTAGGGTTTCAGGTATGAATAAGACGAGTACATCTGTATCATGAACAGTGCCCCCTAGTGTCATGTTCTGTCCTTCCTCTTCCCCTTTGCGAATTTCCGGGGGGCAATTTTATGAACTCAAAAATTCATCCCTCATCCTCAAGTTCTCCGAACAAATTTATGTCACTGCATCTACTTGAAAAGGAATAAATAAAAAAACTTTTTCGTATGGGTTTTAAGGAGCAATTTTGAAGCTTGTAGCTAGTGCCATCACTTAAAAAGTAAACAGTTTTTGACATCATAAGCACGGGGGGAAGGATATGGCGTTACCGCAGGGTCAGACTTTCCAGGCCAAAAATGGTGTGAACTATTCACGTTTGACCTTGAATCTGTTTCACATCGATATATCAAATTTAGGCAGTCTCGAAGGGGTTGTAATTGCTTTTATAAATTTAGCCTTTGGCCCACTTCCACGGAAGCATGTGGCAGCATAAATCACATGCGTTTTTCCTTTATCGAGCTTGTAAGACGAAAAGCAAGCGGCTGAACTCTGTGCTGATGTATGTTAGTATGTAAAAACAGCCCCCCATTCACCAATTTAACTATTAAAAGACGAATTTTACGTGCATTTGAAAAACATAAATGATTTGGGCTCTTACCATTCGATGTCACAATTTGATCCCCATATTTAAACACCGTGTCGAGAAAATTCCTCGTTATCATTCCGCTAAGCTGTTGCTGATCGAGAGCATTCTGAGATCGAATTCCTCTTATATGAATCACTTTAATACTTTTGCAAAGTATATTGATCTGGTGTGTACTCAAGCTTATCCCTGTGTCCCCGAGAGCAATTCACTAAGATGGAAAGGTGGATAAAAGTGAAATAAGGTGGAAAAATAACAAGACACCCAAAACAAAATTCTTTTAAATAAAATGAAAAGAGTAAAAAATAAATATGAAGATGTATCAAAAATAAAAATAAAAAGCAATAAAAGAGCCTTATTTCTTTCTGTATCTAGAATGAACCCAGCATGTTTTCACGAACAACTAATTCGAAAGAACAAAGAAGGAAAGAAAGAGAAAATTTGGAAAGTGTAAATCTGTGAATCGGAATGAAAAATGTACAGAGACGAGAAAATCTACAGTAGACCCTTATTACTGAAGAGACAGGTTTTTGAGGTGGAGACAAATCAAGCAAAATAAAGTAAATAAATAAACATAAAGAAACGTAAAATTAAAGAAAACAATTCAATAGTCACAGCAAAGCATCTCAGGGCAAAAGAAAACAACACTTAATATCCTTCAGCGCTCATTTTTGACGTTTTTTTTGTGTTACAGGGCAAGCAGATCCCCGCTGGTTGGACAGTCTTATATAGTATCCGTGAGACAGTTGGCTCGTCAGATATATTTGCCGACAGGAACAACTTTGATCCTGATCGCTTTGCTTCGGAAAGATGCGAGGACCGCTCTGGTGACCGATACAACTACTGTATTTTTGGAGGTGGTCCGCGATCGTGTATTGGCAAATCTTTTGCTGTGATGCTGATGCGTATGCTTGTTATTGAACTAGCACGAAGCTGCAACTGGGAACTCCTGAAACCTGAATCGGTGAAAATAAATCAGTTACCAACACCACACCCGGTGGACGGTATGCCAGTCAGGTTTACTGCATTGAATAATGTTGATCATAATGCTAACAGTGTTGTATTCAGCTGTGAGTCTGAAGAAAATCCAGATGCTAATTAAAGCTCATCTCTCTATGCTTATTTGGAATGCCGTGAAACCGAAATATATTGCCTCTAAAACTGTTCACAAAAGTCCTAATTTTGGTGTTAGTGGTTTTGAATTGGCACGTATTTTAAAAAGGGCAAGAAAAGACACAAATACTCCATGGTCAACTGTTTGGATTGCAGTGGTGCTTTCATTAATCGACAGTTGTACAACATTGCGCTTATAGAAATGCTTAATACGCACTCATGTTGTAATACAAGTAACATCATTACCATTATGCTACTTGAAGTTTTCTATGGCAGGCAGGCGCGTATTTCTTCTTGTGTGTCAAACAGATAATCTCTAGCTTTTGGGTTAGTACAAATTGATTAACTTTCCAGTGCATTGTAATATGATGCATTTGTGTGGCTGTGGATTAGAAATCAAACTGTTTGCCCGGCATCCAGTCACTCAAAATATACCGCTGTATCGGATACCAAGCACCAGTTGCCTTGGAATGCCCCATCCACTTTTGATAGTTTGTCATAGTCGGATTTTTTTCTGCTGAAATTTACCTGTATCTTAATTAGTGGAAAGTATTTCTAAGACTTTTCAATTGCAGACGACGCTTGCGGACGCTACATTTCTCCGATGTTTTTATCGAAGGTCTGGAAAGATCTTCAAAGATAGGCATTTCAGCTGTCATTTGTAGCCTGTTGAGGTTTTGTCATAATAAACTACTTCGTTAAATATTGCATTAGTGCTAATTGCTGTGATGGGGAGTGCGACTTTCTGACACGTTAAAGGACGCATAACACCCTTTTCGGAAGGGGTTCGGGGAGACAGCTAATAATACACATGTATATAGGGTCTGCTCTTTCGACATCACAGTCAGGGTCGAAGCGAAGGCACTCGGGGGGGGGGATACGCAGAGTCAATTTGCCGACTTGAAACTTGGTTGCCAACCTCGTGTCGTGTAAAATTCACAAAGTGCGCAGGGGACATACTGAGTTGTTTTCCGCATGCGTCCGTGTTGAAAGTGGAAAACTATGGTACGCTGCATTTCGTGTTTCAAAGGAATGCCGACGGCCAACGTATGTCATTTACTGGTACACATTTTGGATTCATTTGTCGACCAAAGCTCAATTCGTCGAATGGAATCACCCACACCCCCACACAACCCGCCAAGTGGCTGCTAAAATTATAGTTGCCAAGAATAATTAAATTGAATTAAAAGAATAATTCATAAAGTGTTTAAACTCTACGTAGCTATCAGAATACCAGATAATAACACACGTACTAATCAATATTTAATGAAAATACCATCCTATTTAATTAAATGGGACAAATGTCCATTTTGAACAAATTTGAGGTACAAACGAAAACCAACCAAAAGGTGACATTTCGGTAAACTTTTCCCTCCTATACAGTTGCAGGCAAAATGAGACTGGTCTGTAAATGTTTTAAAGCACTAAAGCGCATATTATACGTATTCATGTAGATATAATGTAGATGCGAGATAGAGATACAAAAAGTCATCCAGCTCACAGCTAAATATGGTTTGTAAAGTGTGCCATTTTGTAAGAGACTATAATGATTGTTTGTCAAACAAAATTCAAGGCAGTGATGTCACATTTAAATGCCATCTTCCTCAAAACATATATGTATTAATTACGCCAATAAGGCGCGATGCATTTAGTCTCTGTTTAGCGTAATTGTTTGCACAGTGCATGTAAAGGATGTAAATGTTAATGTAAATCGTATTATTATGCAAATATTACTGATGTCCCATAATGGTCGTTTGTGCATGATTAATGGTTGTAACTCCATAAAAACTGTGTAAGTTTATAACAGTGGTCTTCAAGCATATTGCTGTACTTTTTGAAAGGGGAGGAGTTTGCTCGAATTTCATGCGTACTTTTATTCCGAGTGGCCGGAAATCTGAGCAGTCGGCTAAAATGACTTGAGTACATGTAGAAAATCATTCTTGCAAAGTTACTAAAATTTAAAAAGATTTTAAAAGTTTTTCCACCTCCTCTCAAGCAGTTAAAGGCAGAACCTTTAACATTTTCGTTTTTATGCTGATGAAACTTTTCATATTCGTGACCCAAAGGGCGATGCCATCCAAGGCAGAACAGAAGTGTTTCCAACGCTCTGTAAACAAATACATTACACCTTTCCGTTTTGTAACACGTTCCACTTTTTACTTTATTTTTGTTTATAATTGTACATGTTACTTGATTATAGAATTTCCTGTTGATATTCAGTTTGCATTTTCTTATTTCGTTGTAAATTCAACTGTAATTCAGCCCCTAAGGCTGCACAAATTGAATAAAATATATATTGAATCATACTAACACCAAAAGCAAAAGCGTACATGTAAATTTGACATTAATGTTTGTTACATTGTTAAGCTAACGTTCGACGTCAGCGTTTCGAGTTAAGTTGTATTTTGATATTATGTTGAATCAAAGTTGGCGAGATTAACTGGAAAAAAAGTCACGAGAAGGTTATTGTAACCTTTTAATTAACGTTATTTTAAATGTTATATAGTCTGTAAATTTACCCGATCCGTTGGCATTTATAGTCCGTCAATACTAATCCGAACTGAAACAGTGTCACAGCAACGTTTGCCAATTGTTACGTTAATGTTAGGCTTCAACATAATTATTTAACATGGTTATCGATCAAGTTAGGTTGAATCAACGTAGCCAACAAAGTTAAGTGTACAAAGATTGTAACCTTTCAGTGGCGTTCTTTAAACGATTATAATGGTCCGAAAACAGTCTTAAATGAAACGTCTGAAGAAAGTTAAAACCTTGAAAGAAATTTACGTTGTGATTAACATGTTATTTTTGATTGGTCGCTTTGCTTATTGATTTTATTTTGATTCTTTAAGATTAATACTATCTTTCTGGTTATTTTTCTTAGCTATATTGTTGAAACAATGTTGGCACGTTTGTATTAAAAACCGAACGTAAGCAGTTATAGAAAAACTTCTACATTTCGAGAACTTGAAAAAAATGTTATCATTAGAACCTTAATACTACAGTGTTATAGAACACACCACAGGTTTTAAGGCAAAGAACGCAACACATAATGACGGATTAGAATTGCTGTAATTGCTACATTATTGCTATCTGGGAGAAATCTATTCTTGTATATACAGATACTATATATATCGTTTAATTAAAGCAGTAGTTGTTGTTTCACAAGAAACGTCTTGTGGACCTTTTTTCGAACTTTACAAAGTGGAAAAGTATGTAAAGTCTGATCGGAAAAATATCTGAATATTTTACCCTCTCCCTACACACGCAAGCCATACATAATTCCGGAGACCCCTCCCCATATGCAGTACCCAAAATAATCGATGCTGTCTTTTAACTCTTGCTCTTAAAGGGTGCGAAAGAAAAAGAGTTTGGGGGTTCCCTTATCACAGCAAAGGTCCATCCAGAAAGCAAGGAAAATATCTACGTCAGTTAATTGATAGTACAGTAGTGTAAAATATAAAAGTACCAACTTAAATTAAGATAGCACGAAGGATGTCGATTCCATTGCAGAAACCAGCGGCATATCCATCCTTCGGTATGTGAGGGGATTCAAAAGCGAATGCGGCTTTGGACTCATTCAACATGATAATGGGGAGAAAAAAATATTAAAAGCCTATTTATTTGATAAATATACCGATTACTTTCTTTAATACTCACCTATGAAGCATTCTTGGTATCATGGAAAATCCGTCCGGGGGCAAGACCCCCCCCCCGCTGGATACGCCACAGACAGAAATATCTTTTGGACGTTTAAGACTGGCCAGGAACATATTTATCCCAACCAGGTTGCGGCCAGTAAATAGGCCGAAAACTGCTTGCTTGGGCCAAATCACAAACTGTATGCACTCACATTCTCCAAGAAATAGAGCATTTTGTGACCCATGAAGTTGGCATTTTGTAGAAAAGACAGATTTGGGAGAGCAAAAAGAATACCAGCTTGTGCCTGAGTGAAATTTGGAAGAAATCGGTGCCTGAAAACGGTCTATTTTTCGACAAGTGTGGGTTTTGATATTCCAAAATGGCGAGGGGCTTCACGACTTTTTGGGGTGGCCTTCCGTGGAAAAGTATTTTCAAAAGTCATCGGTTAATGAATGGAAATGTGAAAAGAAAAATCATAAAATGGGCTTTAGTTTGATGTGCGTCTCAAACGCCTGAGAAACTCGTATTTTTCCTAATGTTTTGATGTTCAGGTATTAGGCCTATCACTGTCAGCTATGGCAGTTCATTTACTGGCCTGCAACCTTAATATTACTCCAACGACACTAATGGCTCATGCCTGATGTGCCCCTCATATCAGAAACAACCCCTGCACACGGTCATTTCGTCTACCCACTTAAATCCACCCCTGCCGGAGAATCCCTGTTCCAGTTTCTCCTCATATGTCCAACCGGGGTTTAGTCAATCCGCACAACGAAATCCCTTCAAATTCCGTGGTTGACATTAGGTACAAGACCCATATTATAGGGAACCACGACAGTCATTTTTATGCTACCATCAGCCGTTGATAATTAATGGCGACAGCTTATGTACCACTAGGGTTTAGTTGTGTACTTGCAAGTGCCGGCAGTCGGCGAAAGAAATAAATTGGGATTCTCATCAGGAATCGAGATCCGTATGACGTGGATGGATCTACCATGGAACCTGTGAAAACTTCTGCGCTATTGCAGCAAGCGAGTAGTTCAGTGGTTACTGAAACAGTCCACACAAGTAGACAACGTGTGTCACACGTCACCAGTCAGTAAGTCCAAGCTAAGCCAATTGCCCCCCCCCCCGAAATATGAAGTTATTTATAACTGCACATGAGCGACATGATCTGGCATAATGTATATGGAATTTCCACCAATCAAAGCGTCTGCTCTTTTACGAACCAGCAAAATAGGCAAATTGCATACATTTTTCGATTTTCAGTTTTTCACATATTAATAACGTACTTATTATAATGTACCGTCACGCGGAACTTCAACCCCTGAAACGCCATAGATTTTAAGATACAGAGCATCTTTATAATGCCTTGTGGCCGAAATACATCAATGTGTCCAGATCTGGACATTATACGAAACGGCAAAACAATAATACGGTCAGTTCGTTAAACAAAATCGTACTGTTTATGGAGGGCGCTGTGCTCTTCGAACTGACGTAGTTATAGTCAGTTCGTGAAGTCCATGTGATCGAGTTCACGCGTCTTCCCCACTACAATAACGAAGTGGCGAAATTAGCGTGCAAACTCTATGCTAAAAGTAAGCCATTTCATGTTGTCTTATTGGAAAAGAGTAACTTAAATGGTTTTAGATGAAACTTCAGCAAACGTTTGAAGGTTAACTGTCATTAGTATGCCCTGTCAATCCTCATCATTCGCATGCGCTACCTCCATGCGTAAATTTTTGTTCTCTAACGTTATGTATTAGGCCTACGCCTACATGGCCTAGGCCTAGCCTTCACTAAGCAACAGAAAATAAGTTCATGTCATGCTACTTTTCCCTAGATTGAATTGCAATTTATAATGAGTTCAAGGTACAGTTCATGATCTCCATCCATTAGGCCTATGTGCATATCGCAGGCAAGCATTGATTCACATGATTCATTGACTTGTAAATTGATTTGGGCATCTTTGGTTTCCTTTGTTTATAGGTCTACCGGTATTTCCATATGAGTTGGCCTTTCAAGCTCTCAGGCTTGATGCTGTTACACCCACCAGCTGAAGTACTCAAACTTATCTGAAGTCATTAACACCTAACACCTAGCCTTATCTAGAATCTATAATATAGTATCATCACAGCCAGAAACTCGGCCTAAAATGGCCAGCCTAAAACCTATGCCAGTACCACGCAGTGTTACACCAAGCATGACGCTTGACCGTAGCCTATCACCGAGCCTAACACCAAGCTTGACACCCAGTATAGTAACGCTTATGCTATATCAACCAGGCTAACACCCAATCTGACATCTAGCCCATAAATCCAGTTTGGCTGCCATTCCAGCCTCCAGTCTGCTTACACAATGTTGGATCACCAGCTCTCCTAGAATTATGAGTTTTGCCCAACCTTGAAGGTAACTTGATATTGATACGGAAGACAATTTGAAATGTGGGGAGAGCTTAGTAATTTCATTTTTAAAAGTGACGTTTACTGTGGCTCATTATCATTTTTAGTACAATTCCAATATTGCTGTTGTATTAGATTCTACACACATTTATCCTTGTGGTTACCTTAAGCCTTCTGAGCTCAGCTACAAGCAGCTAAAAAGTTTTCTTTCTGTTCATGCCAAGATGCGAATTCTGAGGTAGATTGGATCATTCAGAGAAAGGGGAACCTTTGCCCTGTGTTTGTAGTGAAGATAATCTCTTGTGCAAGCCAACCGATGCATGTAGCCAATATTTGTAGCCATTGTTTGGCATGCGCAAGGGTTTATCCACTACGAACACTGGCGAGGGTTCTCTTCGTTTTCACTGTTTTCTCCGAATGACGCCATCTATGTATGCAGAATTCACATCTTGGCATAAACAGAAAAAAAGCCCTTTTTTAGGTTGTTATAGCTGAGCTCCGAAGACAAATGACACTGCATTCGATTTGGATGCTTGAACAGATGAAATCAGAGAAAACATGTTTTCCTTAGAGATGTCTTTAATACAAGAATCAAGACCATGGGCAGAAACCAAAGGGCATAATAACAAAAATCATAACATTGTCCTTGACTGTCTTCTCTTTTATTCCACATTTAAAGTCAAGCTGTCAAATTAACATATCAGCTGGTATTGTATGGCTTTAGTGGATGATTGGATTAGTGAGATGAGATTTGTCAATTCCAATTTCCTCTGTATTTTTAGGTACTATATCATTCCAGGCAGTTTGGTTGTAATGTTATTTGACGTGGCCGATGAACCTGTGTCAAATGTACAGTCTAATTTACAGGGTAGTTTCTCTAGGCCTTTGTACTTTTTACTTTGGCTTTTACACAAACTAGATAAAATGTTAAGCTTTTAGGCTTACTTTAACAGCCGTTATATTTCATTTTCTGTATAGGTTCAGTTCCAGCCAGACGAGGATGATGGTAACTCTCCAGAGGCCTTTCTTACACGGATAAAGCCGCTGCAGGTGATGATGTGCTATGCAATTGTTTGAAGGGTTTTAAGGCCCCTCCCGAACCAAAATGAAATGTCCATAGGCCTATATCTTTTCATTTGTTTAAAATAGACGAATTTTAAATTTATAACCAAATACCTGGGAAGCGCAGTTAGAGAGAAAAAAAGAACCATCCATGAAATAATCCACAGAAGTTTCAAAGGCCACACAGCAGCAAAAGAGTCTGTGGTATAAATTTGCATTGAGCTGAAGGCAACGAACCACAGCAGTGGTGTATACCGAGCTGTGCGTGTAGAACCTCGGGGACTCTGCGTTACGCAGGCTGTTATTGGTGTATACCGAGCCGGTGCGTGGGTCAGCACAAGTGGCCATCCGTCGGAGTAGTCCGTCGGAACCGTCCGCCCGGAGCCCCCGCTTGCCGGATCGAGCCATCCGCGCGGAGCCTTCTATCCGCCCGGAGTTAGTCTGCCCGGAGTGATTCCGCCCGGATAGCCATTCCGGCCGGAGAAACTGGCGTTTTGGAGTACTCATTTCGAGTTTAATTAAAATAAAAGATCAAATTAAAGACACTGAAGGTTTCTGATAGGCACACAATGGATGGGTCAGGTATACAGGTAGGCCTACTCCCTGCAGGCAATTTTACCCGGGGGGGAGGTTAGACTTGTATAATGCACTTGAGAGGGAGTATGAGAGGGTTTCCCGTGAAATTGAAGTGCTAACACAAAGCTTAAGCTCGTTTTTGGTCATCCCCCAAGCCAGCACATATGGAAATCATGGAGAAACATGTACTGGGAAAGAAGGATCTAGCCCAGGTATCTCTACCAAGCACCCTCCACCACATCCTAGAGTGAATGTCCCGTGTACGGAGCCCACTATCAGTGTAGTAGGCAGTAAAGTCCCACTAACAGGGTACAAACAAGTGAAGACTCCCGTCACGACTCTGGGTTGGACATTTCTGGCAGTCTTTTCCGAACCAGAGAACAAAGAGACCCCTACTCAATTCGACAGATGGTATGGCCAGAACAGAGCCAAGGTGGTTCAAATTGCTTCATCCACGAGGGACAGCAAGGGCTTAAGCTTCCAAGCGAGGGCTCGGAGAACAGGC